GTGCTATTTACAAGATCTTTCTATACCAGCCCCTGTGAGGATGGACAAGGGTGACTGACAGTCAAGCTGAATCCCCTCGGGATTAACACCCAGGTGTGGTAGATGAAAGCTAGACTCTTCCCTACAGACAGCTTCCCCTAGGGGGAGGGGGCAGCCCTTACAATGTCCTGTGTACCCTGAGCAAATAAGCAAGAGTTCACAAGGGTCAACTATGCTTATCCCATTTGCTGTTGGGCCTTCAGTGCTAGTATATTGTCTGGCACATAGTAGGCAGTCAATAAAGCACCCATAGCACAAAGGATTTTTTCACTTACATCTTCCGCTATCCTTTCCGCTGCTACTGAAGGTAAAACAGAGCCCACCCGTGACTGGTAAAGTTGCTGATGGTGAAGAACTATCACATAAAACTATCAACTGCATGCCACTCACAATAGCATCACACGCAATTCTACCAGCAATCAGCAGATGAACCACTGAGCCAGGTCCCTTGGGGGACCTTGGATTATTCAGGTTAGACACCAACTGCCCTTTGTTGATTATGAATGCTGGCTCCCAGGCCATCAGTGACCTTGGATGTACCTTTTCCCTCCTTTGGGCTCACCTGCCTCATTTATAAAACCAAGATCACAGACCTAACATTCCTCGTTCCTCTGAAGAGTTTTTTGTGAAGTAAACTCAAGTCATTCACAAGGCCATGGTTTTACCCCAATAAATAATTCATGAATGCCTCAGCTAGTCAGAATAAGAAACAACTGCAAGGCAGTGATCATTATTTAAAATGGAAATTATTGCTCATAATATTCATACCTATGATTTAAAATAAGTGTGACTGTGTAGGATATAATGAATTCTGCTGAGTTTTAGGAGGGGAAGTCTCCCCACTCCCACTCTCCTTTTTAAGGCTGAAGTGCCATTACATTTCAATTCATTAAATCCTTGGGCCCAAGTATCATTTTAAATTATCCTGATGCTTATGTTTACTTTTCCTGGAATGCAGCCCCAGCCTGTCACACTTTGGTACAGGAGAGGGTCTGGTATCCGCCACTTTTCTCGCCAAACTCTTGAATAGAAAACTCATCCGCACATAATGTATGAGCCTTTTGTTCTGCTGGTAATACCGCTGTGTGCTCTTCATTCCAAACCTGTGATGGGAAGGAAGTGTCCCTCCACGTGGCTTTATGTAATTCTGTTACTGTGTCAACTTGCCAATCCATTGTTATCTTTGCACTTTATTCACACTTATGTAAAATGTTGGCAACCACGTGATAATTCCTTATTTTTGGTTGATATCAGCATACAGGAAGTGCTAAGCATTATTTTAGGCTGCCTTTTTTTTCTTGGAAAAGGTCATCTTATCTGATGTCATTCACATTTGTAAGATGAACACATACATGTGCTTAAAGGGAGAGATGATAACTGAGAGAATGGCAGAGACTGTAGGAAACAGACCAGCAGGGTCATTAGTCACTGTGAATAAGGCAACATAAGATTCCCACACCAGCTATGTAATAACACTGTGAGTCTGAGCAAGTCATTTTGTCTAATGACTTAAGATCTGAATACAAGGGCATCAATTTCTACTCCTAACCTTCTTATTATAAAAGACTATTAGTGAGGATGGCAGGCAGCTCTAAAATTTTCAGTTTTCATATTAATAAAGTGAATACATGATAGATGAGAGAAGACACATTCCAAAATTACTCAGGCAGAGAGTGGCTTTTAAGCCTGATTTTGAATATACCAAATCAGGTACACTACTTAAGCCTAAAGGAGGATGGACCAACCATTGGAGCTCAGTGATGTGGCTGTCCCTGCCTAGGAAGAGGGACACTGAGGCTGGGGAGGTTGGATATCTACATGTTGTATGCTGTCTGAATGACAAAGAGCAGCCTGGGTAAACACACTAGGATTATATCTAGTATGCCCTGCTCTGCTTTTAGACTCAGCAACCTTCAGATAACTAATTGGATTTTCCAGCTACATTAACATCCAGAACGAAGGTGCCCTAGATAGCAAATATTGCTTATTTGTTTGTTTCTTTCTTTCATTCCTTTGTTCATTTGACAAATATTTATTGTGTTCACTATGTGCCAAGCACTATTCTATGCCTTGAGGACACACCAATGGATGAAAATGGATCCAAACTCCTATTTCCAGAAAGAATTTATCCTGGTCAGATGGTGATAAGTGTTACTAAAGTGAAAAATGAAGCAGGGATGGGGTGAAAGAAAGAATGGTCCTGTTGGGATTGCTAATTTAAATAGTTTTTAATAACTTTATTTATTGATTTGAGAGAGAGAGAAAGAGAGAGAGAGATTGATTTGTTGTTACACTTATTTCTGCATTCATTGGTTGATTCTTGTATGTACTCTGACTGGGGATCAAAACCCGAAACCTCGATTGTGTCAGGACAATGCGTTAGTTGAGCTACCCAGTCAGGGTCCAGACTGCTAATTTAAATGTGGAGCCAGGAATCTCTCAATGGCAAGTTGAATGGAAGAGATATAGGAGGGGGTATGAGAGTGTCTGAGGGCAGAACCTCCCCAGAATGAAGAGCCAGTGCAAAGGTTTGGAAGCAGGAATGTGCTTGGTACATCTCAGGAAGGCCAAGGAGCAGGAGCAGGAGAGGGGTCTGGAAGGACACTAGGGTTCACATTGAAATTTGAACCTTCTCATGACTGGGAAAGAATATTTCTCCCCGTGGGAATATATATAATGATTTAGGGATTTGGTGTTGTTTTATACTTGCGCCTCCTTCAGGCTTGGCTAGAGTACGTCTATCTCTATGAAACTAAACCAGTTAGGAGTCTTTGGCATATTTGGCTTTCCGCCCCTAAAAAGTCAAGGACCTGACTCAGACACTTGGGACTGCTTTATGGTGATGTTCTTGGGGTGACCAACAATGACCCTAACCTTATCACCTGATATATCTTCAATACCTGTTGGAGATACAAGCTCTACACTACACAATGTGAGCTGCCTCGATTATTCACTGATGTAACAACGACTTTATGAGCATGTAGGGATGGGGTTTTACATGTGGCTATGGGTATCATGGACATAGAGCTGTCAAGATAGAGTTCACTGAAGTATATTAAATGGACTTTAGCGTGAGGCAGATCTGAGCTTGAATCATGGAATTGACACTGGCTATGGAATCTAAAGAAAGTTACGTTTCCTGACAATTTGTTTCTTTCGCCTCAAACAGCATGCTTGTAAGAATTTAATAAAACCAGAAGAGTGGTGATAAGAACTAAGCGAAGTAATGTACCCAGCAGCAAACCATTGGTCCTCAGGAGCCATTCCCTTTCTCGTCTCCTCCTTCTCAGTTTCTCCATTGCACTGCATGACTCAGAATTACTGCTGAATGACTCATAATGAAATCTTAATTAATCATCAATTTTGGCACCACAGGCTTCCCACAGAGCTTTCGATTGGGGGAGCCTGGGTTGTCTGAGCAGAAGCCAACAACACCAGCAGTCTGTTTATGTAGAAAGTGTAGACACTATAGTCTCTGCAGAGGAGCGCAGGTGAAGTGAAATAATACAACACCCAACACAGTGGTTGGTTGTCCATTGTTCGTCTTCATCAAATGTTCATTTTCACTAGTTTTTTTTGTTCTCCTGTAGCTTTGAAAATTTTTTATGGAAATGTATATGTGTTTTAATTATGCTATGAAAAAGTTAAAAAAAGCAAGCAAAATTATGTGAGAAAAGGTAGCTTCTTTTCTTGATAATGATGGTGAATTTAGACAGTCTTTTTTCTATTCTTGCATTTAAATATTGGGCATAAATCAAGTGTGAATTGAAACTGTGATTGTTAGTTTTATGGGTCAACTTGTTGGGAGGCCTTAAGAGCAAACCTGAGGTTCCCCCAAGGAAGAAGTCCTGCCTCAAGCCTGCGGCACTGGCTCCTGACTGACAGATTCCAGACTGCTGGTGCACCCTGCAGGTTTTGCACTGTCCCACCTCCACAATCATGTAAGCCAATTCCTTGAAAAAACCCTTCTTTTGTATGTGCATATGCATGCACGCATGTTCTATACATATGTGTATACATATGTAGGTGTTTGTATGCATATATGCATGCATGCATTTACATATATAGAGCTCCTGCCAACTCTGTTTTTGTTTCTCTAGAGAGCCCTGACTGACACAGGTGAATATGAAAGCTTATTTATTCTTATTTTTCTGTCAGCAATTCTTTATGATGTCTCATTTGCATGATGCAATTTTACTGAAATGAAACTTGAGCAGCTCCAAACTGCATAATCAATTTCTTTCTGCCTGACAACAATTTCTTTTTGGCCTGACCAGGCAACCTGACCCTGGGGTGGGAGCATCATCCCCCAACTGGTGGAGGCCAGCAGGGGCTACCGAGGTTCACGGGGCACATTACCTGGGTTCTACGGGGACAATAGTATAAACTCAATGCCTGGTGGATGATATGCCTCTAAAATTACGGATATATCAAGAAGTCACAGAGTGGAAACTGGTTTGTTTGCTACTCTCTGGGTATGAATTGCAAGCATAACTAGGATATTAAAACTTTGTTGTCTAAGTGAAAATATGTTTGTGTAGTGACGATAGCACTGCAATTTCAGGGATGAATGCACAGGAGGACAAGTTACCATGAGAAAGGGTATCACTGAGAGTATAAATCTGCTTTTATTTGTTGCTAATCTGTCCATTGTGATGTGGACAGATAAACCCTGCTGAAAAGTGAGGTAAAAACTTTACATCATCTGAATTTAGAGCCACTACTCTATGCCTTAAGTCTGGCTGGATTACCACGTCATTTTTTTGTTTTAAACTTGCTTTTTCCCTTTATTCCTTTTCTTCATCGTACAGCCTTCCTAGCAGCGTTGCCAGAATTTGAACAAACACACCTTTGGTCTCATTTCCAATTTATCATTTTCTTACTATACATCTTGTTCTAACCAAGCAGCCTTTATGCATACTCTTTAGTTAACTTTTTTTTTTTTTTTTTACTTTGTACAGATTTGGTTATCAGATGCTTTAAGGAATGGCAGGGGAAATTGTGTTTTCAGAAGAGAAATCAACCAGGAACATTAACCAGCCTGACTTGGTAAGAACCAGCTTCTCCCAGGAAGCTTTGGGTAGTTAACAAGATACCAGAACCTCCAAAAGATGGTTAATGGCCAAGAGAAACTGCTTTTAAGGTGGTAGCAACCTACACTGTCCATAAAAGTGCAAGATCAAGCGAGGCAAGATATCTGACCATAGGTAACAGAGCTGTGGAAAAAGAAAACTGCGGCCTCAAAAAACCTCCACTCTCCACTCTCCATTTTGTAATTCCTGAAATGCTCTACTTTTTTCAGAATTGCTTTCTAACTCTCATCTTGTTTTACTTTTGCTTCTGCCATCTTCATCTTCTTACTTATTTTTTGTGTACACAGTCATTCCTTTAATTTGCTTTCTTTCCTTTCTACTGTGAATTTCCTGTATTTCTCTTGCCTTCTGTCCCCTTTCCATTTTTACCTCTTTTTCATGTTATTTTTTGAATTTCATTTCTCAGTTTTTAATTCTTCTTCCTCTCCCACTGATCTGTTGTGGCTTTAATCATTGTTGAGAACCTCTAAAATCACCTAGTGACTGATATTTCCTCCCTGAAAGAAGAGGGATTTGTGACTATGGAAAACTAACTACAAAGACCCGACACATTCAATTTTCAGTGCAGTCCTTTCCTTTCTTCTGTGATTCTTTTGCTTGGGATTAGAGCTGGACTGCTTACTGCAGCTCACAATGGCCAAGCCCTTCTGGCCTGACTTTGCCCTGACTTTTCTGCCCTGTGAGTCACAAGGCAAGGTCTGTCTGAGCCACTGTGTTTACACTGATTTCTGGAATTTAAAAATTGTTCTTCACTGTGAAAAACTTACACAGGTCTGCCTGGAAAACCAACACATGGCAAGGTGTGTCTGAGCCACTGTGTTTACGCTGACTGCTGGAATTTTAAAATTGCCTTTCACCAGGAATAGCTTACTGAAGTCTGCCTGGAACACCAAATAGTGTTATTTTATAATGACCAGAAGCATTGTTCTCCCCAGCCCATTCATTCCCCTCCCCACTCCTTCATTATTTACAGCATTGACGAAAGCACACAGAAGGGTTCCTGGGAGAAGGTGAAGGAGCTTTGTGTTGTCCTCCTGGACCAGAAGCAAGATCTTGACAAAGCAGTAACAGTAAAATATCAACTAATAAAATAGATTGGTCCTTCAGGACTCTAGGTTTTGCCATCTGACATTCAGAAATACTAGACAGCCATGAAAACACCAAGTTCACTTGACCCTGAGAGATTTTAGTGTAGCCTCTTGTAACACCTAAATACGGACTACACAACTTTTCAATTTTTTACATTATTGTTTTTGATAAGTTTGGTTGTGAATCCACTTTACCTTTCTGCATTTCTGGAAGAACTGGAGTGCAAATCTCAGTGAGTAAGAGGTCGAAGCAAATCTTTGCCCTGCTGCGGGACCTGGGGGACCATCGCTCTCAAAGGATACTTATGGTCGAAGGTGTACCACATTCTGAAGAGCCACGCACTCTCTGTTTTTGTTGTGCTTTTATTCAAGTTATTTGCCTCCTGGGAAGAGACAATAGAAAAAGACATTGAATGAATAATTAATATAAAATATTAATATGTAATATCACCATTGATATACAGTATATATTTTTACTCTAAAAATACATGTCAAAGCAAATTAAATTTAACTACATTAAAGAAACTGTCTAGGTATAGGTGTTTCCATCTAAATGGTAAAGCAGCTGTCATGCAAATTAGCTCAGAGATCGTGCCATCTGGCTTAGACTCTTATGGTGCAATTCAACATTTACTTTCCTTAATAATTCCTATTTTATTAAACAGCTAAGAAATGCCACTTTTTGACATCAAATAAAAATGATATTTCTGTCAGATTGCTGCTGTGGGAATTTTGCAGTTTACTTTTGTCAGATTTGGATGGTATTTATTTATGTCTTACAAAAAGGTCAAGACTAAAGAGATAATAACAGCCTAATAATTTTTAAACTAGTTTTCATTCAATTTCTTTTTGATAGGTTACTACCAAATGCTAGGGTTAATTTTTATTTTTTTCCTGCTTCAAACAGATATTCCTATAGGAATCCTGTAATAGTTCAATGCGCTTGTCTCATTTAAAATTTTATTTTTCCAAAAAGGCCACAGAGAGAAGTAAGAAGAAAAGGAATTAAAGACAAAAGAGAATGCATTTGGTGGGTGTTTATGTGAAAGCAGCAGATGAAAATGTGGGAAGAAAAAAAGGTGACTAGTTTTTGTGAACTTTGGAGACAAATGATAATGAACATCACAGTATGGTAACAAGGAGATTCAGCAGCATTTTTACTTCTTTTGTATATCCCATTTTACATATTAAGAGAGTGCCAGGCTTCAATCAATTATAATTATCCTTATCATTAAAAACATTTATATGTTAACATGAACTTCATTGCTTTGTTTGGGCCCACAGTTTCCATTCTCAAATTGTTTCATGAGTCCACAGTCCAGTGATGATGTGAACATTGTCAAGAAATCATGACCCATGGAAGACAATGGCAGCCCACTGGCTGCTCCAAAGCCAGCCCTTGGATGAATCTTATGTGATTTGCTTTCATTTTATTTTATTTACTTTTGCCGGTTCCCAGATAGTTCCATTGCTGGTTAATGATAAGGAGCTGAAGACAATGGGCTGCATTCTGCTCTCTGAGACATGTGGATCGGCAGATGTTCTGTTCCTCTAAATGAAATGGGATACAAGACAGCAAAATGTGGTTCCTTTCCAGTCAGCTGTTTATCCTTTGTCTGAAGTGGTTGAAGCAGAGACTCACAATAAAATTAAGATCTGATTTCGAAACTTGTAGTTTCCCAAATAGTGTTCCCTGGTAGCCACTACTCTACATAATAGTGATGGAAATACTGCGCCAGTCATTCAAGAAAGGACAGATAAAGCTGTGTTGTGCAGGTTTCTTATATACAGAACATCTCAGGGTGTTTCATTAGTAAATGAGCATTGTAAGACTTCAAGAGGGAGTTGTTTCTCAAAGTCGGGCAGGAATCCCAACCCCACTGGGGGACATCTATAATCTTTTCACAGACATTCAAGTCCCACAGATCTGTTTTCTGATAGACTAGGAGTGCCATGCATTCTTTTTTTTTTTAATTTAATTATTTACTTTTAGAGAGAGGGGAAAGAAAGGAGAAAGAAAGGGAGAGAAAAATCAGTACATGGTTGCCTCTAGTGTGTCCCTTGCTGGGGACCTGGCCTGCAACCCAGGCACGTGTCCTGATTGGGAATCGAACCAGTGACCCTTTGGTTTGCAGGCCTGCACTCAATCTACTGAGCCATGCCAGCCAGGGCCCATGAGTTCTTGTCTAGAGTTAGAATTTATTCATAATTCATCATTCTCTCCCCAAAAGGAAACCAAACTGCATGGTTCAATTCCATCCTTCCCTGAACCTTTCTTTATCTATTTCTACCTCAAAAAAGGTGTCAGATTTGCAAAGTCACTGCTGCACATAGTACTTCGAACATCTTGCATCAGCTCTAAGTTGTTTCTAGTCACCATTTCCCCAGCAGACATGGCAAGTTGGGGCTCACACAGCAGAGTTAGGTAAAACTACTTACCCTCAACTCAGCTAGTTATAAAAGCTCTGGGCCAGCAATGAAGTGTGGATCTCTCTCTGTCTCAGAACAAAAAGAACTTACAGAATTTTATCCATCACCAGGCACACGTTATTTTTGATAGCTGATAATATCTAGGGATGACAGATAGTTATTGAGGAAAATTGATAGAAAGGAGTATGAGCAGATTCCTGTCTTTTGTTAGGCTGTTAACTTTAAGTAAAGGTGGGCCATGCAGTACTCAGCCAGCTGGCAGTCAAGGGTCCAGAACCTGAGCACCCAGTCTGCGGCAGCCCTGCCAAGTCATGTTTGCAGCTGTGACAGTTCCCAGCTCTTGAATGCCCAGCCATTGAATGCTAACCCCATTAGCCAGTCATTAACTTTTTCAGTCAATATTTTTCAGTTTTCACAACAATCCATGAAGGTAGGCCATGTTATACTTATTTTACAAGTGAGGACCTAGAAACAATTCGAGGTGGGAAGAGATGAGCCCAAAGTCATACAGTTAGTGAGCGAAAGAACTGGAAGTGGAAAGCAGGACCACTGGGCTACCAAGGTGGTGTTCTCTCTGCTAGTGTCTCACTTGGCCTCTGAACCTGGGAAGAAAGTATAGGCATTGTGTAATCTTCTGCTTGGGCTGCAGTGTTATTGTCTATAAAATGGACAGAAAAATTGGACTGGCTGTCTCTAAGGTCCTAATCATATGAAAATACTCTGTTTTATTAATGAAAAAAATAACAATAAAGGCTAATACTTATTGAATATACCATGTGCTAGACACTATTCTAAAGGCTTTTCATATAGTAACTCTTAATTCTTATACCAATTTAATGAAGTATGTTCTATTGCTATTCTTATTTTAATTTTTTATTTTAACTGTTCTTCAAGTACAGTTCTCTTTTACTCCCATCCCAGCCCACCCACTCATCCCTCCCCACCTCCCCCCCATTTCTACTCCCCCTAGTTTCTGTCCATGTGTTCTTTATATTTGTTCCTGTAAACTCTACCCTCTTTGCCCTGAAATTCCCCTGAAATTATGTCCTCTCTCCTCTCTGGTCACTGTCAGGCTGACATTGTTATTCTTATTTTAGAGATGAGGAAACTGAGGCAACTGAGGGCACAGAGCAGCAGCCAAGATTCCTTTCATCTAGGTGGGGCCTCCGGGTATAAGTGGGTTGCAAACTGGGACAAAGAGGCATTTGAACAAGGAGCTGAGTTCAGGACCTTGGGGAGCTCATGGAAGCTGAGATAGAGCAGCTTCATATACCCCAAAACTTAATGAAAATGCATCGTTCCCCTCCATTCAAGGAATGTCCTAGATACTAATTTCATGGTTTCTCAGGTATTAGTAACCCTCCCTGACTTTTTTCCCTTTTCCCTCCCCTTTCCTTTCCTCCCCTTTCCTTTCCTCCCCTTTCCTTTCCTCCCCTTTCCTTTCCTTTCCTTTCCTTTCCTTTCCTTTCCTTTCCTCTCCTCTCCCCTCCTTCCCCTTCCCTCTCCCTCCCTCCTTCCCTTCCCTTCCCTTTCATTTCATTTCATTTCATTTTCTAAGTTGAGTTTGACATAACTCAAAAACACTCCTGAAAGGGCTTAAACTCTATTTCTGGCAAAACTTCCAGGATAGGTTTTTGTCAGTTGATGAGAAAAACATATATTAGCTAACATTTTGGAAAAATGTTAACAAATATAATCTATTTTTCAAATATTATCTTGGGAGATTGGAGATGCTATTTAGTTTACTACTTTGCAGAGAAATAAACTGGGTCCCAATTGGAATACAACACATAGCACGTTTTCCCAGGTGAGGGAGATACCACTGATGATTTAGCCTTGACTTTCCTGCTGATCCTAGAAAAAAAATTTGAGTGAATATCTTAAATATCTGTTGGCTCAGTTCTGGATCCATTCATTTATATCTCTGAAGTTATTGATGACTTAATAACTTGGTTATGAAAGGCCATCAATAAATGAGTAGAAATAAATGAGTTAGTCTACTGTGTGCTCTGCTTGTGCACTGGAGGTTGAAGATAAATATGCCAAAGGAAGGCCAGCCTGTGCAGTCACCCCGGAACAGGGATCTGATGAGGCAGCACAGAGGGCAAGCCACTGGGAAGGTGTGGATGGGTAGAGGGCAGCAGGTAGCATCAATTTACCTGGCTTATTCTGAAGCAGAGATCAGCTCACACCACAAGGACAATGGATGTGAGCAGTCATCAGAAGTAGAATTTGGAACTTGGTGCTATTTTGTTTATCACTAGAAAAGTTTCCTGTTTTTTGAGTTCCTTGATCCAAAGGAAAAGTAGTATGCATGTTGAAACAAACATCAGATCCAGAAACTAAAGACCAAGATTTGAGTTCTGACTCTTTATGTTTACTGTTTAATAACAAAATGCCAACTCTTAGCCTCATGTTTCACAGCTGTAAATAGAAACTAGAGATTCAAAAGCACTAAATCCCAATATTTATTATCCCTTGATACCTCTAGAAGACAGAGTGTTTGACATATGTGCAATTTCTGTTTCCTTTACTATCCTCTGCTTCTGGGAAAATTTTAAAAATGACTGGGCCATTTGATACCTTTTTTTTCCTCCTTAAACAAGGGAAGAAACCAAAGGTTTGGAAGTAACTGAATACAGGAGGGAGTAAGTAGTTGTCTTTTAAGTGACCCCCTCACCCATAGCAACACCCCAGAGTGGGAGCAACAGAAAATGATAATGGTATTCTTTGTTTTAGGCTTATATGGACTCCTGAGAGAAAGAAAATAAAAGGCTCCAGCCAGAAATCTGTGAAAACAAGACATTGTTGTATTAACCTCAATGAAAAACAACTAAGCAAATGTAAATATATTCCTGCATCAATATTCGAATGTGAGGCCTTTGCTAAATGAATCGGATGAACTCTGCTCTGCGATAATCATATGGGATCACTCCTCATTTCATGAGGATTCAATGGTTTAAGAGAGAGAAGAGATTTTCCTCTGTATTTCTCAAGATTTCACATTCAATGTGAATGTCAATGTGAGTTGCGTGGAATGCTAATGGAGACAAATAATTATCATAATAAATCTGTGGAGCTTCTTATGGGCTGCAAAGTGTTTTTCAAATAGTGCCTGTGAGTGGGATTTGATGGTAGTATTTTGTCCTACCACCTTCCCCCAGTTTGAAATTGTTTATTAAATAATTTTCAAGTTGATTGTCTTGATTTTGTAATTACCAAGGGGAAGAGCAGATTCTATGTCCCTACAGAGAAATATTACTGGCTTCTGAGGTGGTAGCATAATAGAATTGAGGGCCAATAGGATTTTTTTTCAAATTTATGTTTTTAAAGGTAAATCATTAATTTTTAGCCTCCACATAGAAAGTATTTTGAACACTATTTTCCTTTCCCCTGTCATGCTGACTTCATAAATATTCCCAAGAAAATATAATCAGAAAATACATGATCAGGGAGACAACTACTCACAGATGGGTGAAACTGTAAACATGACATACAGACAACACAGACATACTAGCAGATGGGTTTAAACTCATGGTTTAGCGAAAAGAAAGGGCCTGGATCAAATAACTTTGTCCAAATAGAAGATCCAAGATAAACCAGAGGAAAAGTGTTTGGTTCAGATGAATATAATACTGAGGTAGTTTTAAAATGTATACCCATATGTTCTTTGGAAATTTTCCCTTTAAAAGATGGAGACTTCTCCTTCCTATTGTGTGTGGACTGTGCTAAGTGACTCATTTTTAGTCAATAGAATGGGACAGAAGTGATGCTGTGTTCTGTTCAAGATTTGGTCATAGAAAGGCATCGTGTCTCCCTCCTTGCTGTCTCTGTTGGACCACATGAGGGAAGTCAGCTGCCATGTTTTGAGGACACTCATGTAGCTTTGTGGAGAGATCCTGTGGTGAGGAACGGAGTTGCTTGCCAATAGCCAGCAAAAGAGCTGAGGCCTCCTGCCAACATGGAGTGGATCTTCCTGCCCTGGTCAAGCCTTCTCAGGGATGTAGCTCTAGCTGACATCCTGACTGCAACCTCATGAAAGATACTGAGTCAGAAACATTATGCTAAGTTTTTTTCAAATTCCTGACCCATAGAAACTGTGAGATAATAAGTGTTTGTTGTTTTAAGCCAGTAAATTTTTGGATAAATTTTATGTAGTGAGAGGAACCTAATATAATGATAAATTGGAATCATATGTTCTACATATAAAAGGCATTGGAGTGGAGTTGGGAAGAAATAATAAAATCATGAGGCATAACTCTTTGTAGTTTACAATGTACATTCACGAAGGTAATGTATATACAGAGAAGTTAAATAACTTGCTCTAGGACACATAGTGAAAAGAGGTTGAATGTGAACCCAGACAATCTGGTTTCAGAACTTCTATTCTTAACTGGTATTCATCCATCCATCCATCGATCCATCCACGCCTCCACTGATACAAACATACAACACACCCATACGAGGCATTAATCTAGATATGAGGAGGATGCAGCAGTTACCAATTCCAAGTTTGTATCCTCAAAGAGCTTACACTGTAATCAATACAATGATAATACAAAGGTAAACAACTACCTACCATAAAGTCAGAGAATAACAACAGCAGGTAAGGAGATGGAGAACAATGAAGGAGAAATTATTGACAGGTCAGAGCAGGACACTCTGAGAAAGTGGCATCTGATCAGAAGCCTGAGTGATGTGCAGAAGAGAGCCATGAGGGATCTAGGAGAGAATGGTCCAGGAAGGTGGTTCTGCAAGCATGAAGGCCCTGGAGTCACCATGTGGTGGTATGCCTCCCAGGCAGCAGAAGAGCCAAGCATGGCTGGAGCAAAGAGACAGCAAGGTGCAAATGGATGCAGGCAAAGTAGGAGAGATATAGAGGGGCCAGATCGCTGGCCTGGGTGATGAGCTTGGTTTTATTCTACATGTGATGGAAGCTTTGGAAGTTGGAAGTAATAAAACAACCACTTTTAAAAAACTAGTTTTTCTCTTATCTCCACATTGCCCATTGTCATGATGAGCTTAATGTTCATATTCTCTCACATAATTTTATTTTATTTTTTAATTATTTATTTTTTTATCCTCATCTGAGGACATTTCTTCATTGTTTTCAGAGAGAGAGGAAGGGAGAGAGAGAAAGTTTAGTGCAGGAGAGAAGCACTGATTGGCTGCCTCCTGGAGCAAGGATAGAACCTGCAACATAGGCACATGCCCTAACTAGGAATCGAACCTACAACCCTTTGGTTGCAGAATGATGCTCCAACCAACTCAGCTACACAGTTCAGAGCCATAATTTTATTTTATTTTATTTTTTACCACTAAGCTTGTTCTTCTATGGACTCTCTTAATGCTAACTTCCAAATTTTATTTTTGGTTGTTTTTTTCTGCTTCTGTGTAACCTGGGTGGATCAGTTCTGGTCACTGCAGCTCAGGAAAGTCAGAGCAGAGCTGAGAGGGGTTCAAAGAAGGGCCACTTCAATAACTAAGCCAGGGATAATGAAAAAACTGGGACTTCTCCAGCAGAGACATCAGTAAGAAGGGATATAGGAAAGGGTCTGTAAAAACAGGCAGGGTGTGAGCAAGGTGAATGAAGATCTGTTTACTAATTCCCAGAAGACCTTCACCTGGAGTGCCCTTAGAACTTGAAAGAGCTCTAAGCTCTTTCTTAGTGGAAACGCATAAAAGCATTTGTTCTCTGCACAATTGATACTTATTACTCATAGTCATCTAGAGTTCCAAGGACTGGAAATATAAGTAGGTTCCCAAGGGGAAGAGATTAATGAGCTAATGGTAGGGTCTCCTAGTTATTAAATCAAATTTCATTTTGCCTTGTGAAATATTAGGAATATTTCAAATATTCCTAATAAACTTATAGAAAACAGAATAAATGTTCTCACATATACATCCCTCATACTTAACAACTATTAACATTTTTCCATACTTGCTCCTATGTTGTTGGAGTTGGCTTCATAGAATGTAAATTCCTTGCTATACCCCTACAAATATTTCAGAAACTGAATACAGACTAGACTCTAAAACTGATCTCACCCAGATGAGTGTTCTTTATATTATTGTAACTAATGGTATTTTGGAAAAATATAATGAATACTTCAGAGCAAATATCTTGGGTTCTCTTTAGGCCAACATTAAATTTATTTTGGCTATACTTAACTTATGACTTATACAGCCAAGATTTCGCTGCTTAGGATGAAATCCCATACACTGATATTTATCTTACCTGCAGATTCTACAGTTACAAGCTCTAGAAAGCAGAAATAATAAGGAAGAATAAGTAGAGGAAGATGGCACCTGCCCTTTTGTGGGCACCTTTCATACACCAGGTGCAATATATCAGATCACACTTACTCTTTACCTTGACCAATCAGGATATCTATTATAACCCCTATTTTAATAATTCAGAGAATTAAAGTAACTTTCTCAAGCTGACAACAACAGCAAGAATTTCCAGCCACTTCACAATACCCAAACTCCAGTCTCTAGTTCCTAAACTCGGTGAGCCTGCTGCTCTCTGCTTGGACTGTCTACCTCCTTGCACTGCAGCTAGGAAAGGGCCTCCAGGCAGAAGGTCAAGGAGAGCATAGGCTCACCTCACTTGTTTTCTTTCTCTCCGGGATCGTAATTCTTCATTGTCTGTTACCCAATATGTAAATTACTTTCAGTTTGTTAGTGTGTTTCCATCTGAAGTGGGTGTCATGTAGACAGCATATGTGTGGGCCTCATTGTCTTATTCATTCAGCTACCTGTGTCTTTTGATTTGAGCATTTAATCTACTTATATTTAAAGTGATTATTGATAAGTATGTAGTTACTGCCATTTCATTACTCATATTTTTTATTTTTTCTTCTCATTAAAGATATCCCTGTAATATTTCTTGTAGTATTGGCTTGGTGGTATTGATATATTTGTGATACCAGTTATTTTACCATGGGAAGCCATTATATATTTTGAAAATAGTTTTGTAGGGGAAACTATTGTTTTGTTTTTAGATAAATACACAGTGCTATACATAGTTGATCCTTGAACAATACTGCTTGAACTACGTAGGTCCTTTTACACACAGATTGTTTATTTTTATTTTTTATAATATTTTAATTATAGTTGACATGCAATATTATAGTCGTTTCAGATGTATGAAATTCTAATTAGACGTTTACATACCTAGAAAGTGATCACTTCGATAAGTCTAGTACCCATCTGACACCATACATACTTATTATAATATTATTATTTTTTAAGTGAATAATCTTTTTAAAAATTTGTTTAATTGTTGTTCAAATACATTTTTTTTGCCTTTTACTCTTATTATAATATTATTGACCAAATTCCTAACCTGTACTTTACATTCCTGTGACTGTTTTTACAACTGTCCATATACATATCTTAATCCCTTCCTTTTCTTTATCTCCATCTTCATCTTCCTCCCATCTGGCAATCATCAAATTGTTCTCTGTATTTATGAGATTTTTTTTCTGTTTGTTTGTTCCTGTTTTGTTGTCCATTACTTTGTTTTTTATAGTCTACATATAAGTGAAACCATATGCTATTTGTCATTCTCTATCTGACTTATTCCATTTAGCATAATGCATTCTGGGTCCACCCATGCTGTCACAAATGGCAAAATTTTATTCTTTTTTATGGTTGAGTAACATTTCATTGTATATATGTACCACCTCTTCTTTATCCATTCATTTATTGATAGACACTAAGGTTGCTTCCATATCTTGGATACTGTAAATAATGGTGCAGTGAACATAGGGATATACTTGTCTTTCTGAAGTTTTTTGGTTTCTTTGGATAAATACCAAGAACTAGAATTGCTGGGTCCTTCTTTGTCTCCTGTTATAGCCTGGGTTTTAAAATCTATTTTGTCTGATATAAGTATTGCTACCTCAGCTTTTTAAAAATTTCCATGTGCACAAAATATCTTTTTCCACCTATTTACTTTCAGTCTCTGTGTGTCTTAAAACCTGAAGTAGGTCTCTTGTAGACAGCATATATATGGGTCTTGTTTTATCTACTCAGTCACCTTATATCTTTTGATTAAAGCATTTAATCCACTTATACTAAAATAATTACATTTAAAGTAA